TCTTCTGTTTAAATTTAAAATTGAATCATCATATGATGAATTATTTATGAACATATATAAACAACTTACACTAATAAATAAACATCAAATACTTTCATTTCATATATGTCCATCATTAGAAAGTAGTGAATTATTAATCTCGTCGTATCTCATTGATTCGTCACTAGATCGTCTTGAATCTCTTGTTCTTATAGGATTCGAAACAACCAAACTTCTTTCACTTCTTTTGAAGTTAACTTGTCTACCTCGTCTTTTTTCATTAACAATCTATATATTTGATACATTAGAAGAGTTCAGTGAAATCTATCGTTTAATTTTTGTGTTACCAAAATTGAAATATATTAAATGTTCATCAAGTGAATTTCGAGTATCTGTTTCATTACCAATTGCTACCAATCAAGAATTTAGCACCATTGAACATATTGTTATTGATCATAGCTGTACATTGAATGAATTTTATATTATTGTATCTTATTTACCTCAACTTCGTCGTTGCCATTTTGAAGAGATATATGATGATAATCAGATAAATATTCATACTATATTACAAATTAGATTATTCAATTTAACATATATTTCTCTAAACGGCTGTTTTATTAAATTTGATGTATTCGAACAATTAATTAGAAAAATCGAGTGTCAATTAAAAGTTTTACATGTTATTAATAAATGTGATAATGATGATTATCTTGATGCTAATCGATGGAAAACATTGATATTAGATTATTTACCTTATTTAAAAGAATTATCTCTCGAATGTTATAAAAATATTAAAAAAGAATCTGGAATTCGAATCGATTTTGAACGTGCTAAACCATTTACTTCATTGTTCTGGATTGAACGAAAATTAATATTAGAAATTCAAGTCACTTTTTACCAGATCATTTATTCAATTCGTCCATTCAAGTATTTATAGGAGATATTTTTATATTGTATATATTTATTTATTTATCATTTAGAAAAAGATGGTATAATATCAATTCTTTTATAGACTTTTCCAAATGTACTCATTTGACTATGAAATCTGTTCCTTGTGATGAATACATCGAATCCTTTTTGAGTTCTATTTGTACTGTTTTACCAGTAACAGATATTTATCATTTGGATACTTCTAATGAAAGAATTATATCAAGTTTATTATTGAAAATTCTTAATGTATTACCTGAACTTGATTCATTAAAAATATGTTATTTATCAATATCACAAGCTCGACATTCATTTATTGATGATCAAAATTTTCGTTTGGTATCATATCAAAATAAGATTACAAAAGTTTATCTTGCAAATGTGAAGAAAAGTGAAGAAGTTTATTTTCTTCTTAATCTTTGTCCTCGTATGCAATATCTTAAAGTGAATTTTATTTATGATATTGATCATAAATTGTTCGTCAGAAATTTTTTAAGAACAATAAATAGTAATCGCCATCAACATCTTCAATCATTATATTTTCAAGTACCAAAAATAGATGTTCAAATAATTAATGAATTAGAAGAAATGATCAATCATGAAAAATTACTTCGTCATTTTACAATAAAGCGTATACTTAATTATATCCATTTAGAATGGAAATTATTATAATAACTATTGTGTTTTCTCTCTCATTATACTTTGAAATAAAACAAAATAATTAAAATGCTTTTTTTTTACACAAGATGTTTTCGATTAGAAGTTTTTATTTTCTCGATCAACTAGATGATAATAGTCGTGATGCATTTTCTTAAATCGACATTTGAAAGAAATGATTGTAGAAGCTAAAGAATGAATAAAAAAATAATCCTATAAATTTTAATATAATAGTATTTCAGATCGTTAACAAATTGGTATTCAGAAAGTTGCTTACAATACAAAAGAAACTAGATATTTATATATAACTCGTCAGAAGTCTCGTGACATGTGAAAATTCAGCAAATTTGAATGGTTTTCGACTATATTGCTACCGTAGGTAGAACTAAAAAAACTGTGATCACGAGTACTAGCTCAAACTCGACTGACTGAAATAAGAATTGAGTTAAAAATCATAAAATACTTATGTCTTTAGTGAGCATATTGTCAACATACAAAGATAAAATTACGAAGATTGTGAAATTTTAGAACAAAATAGCTCCAGAATGATGAATGAATGAGATCAAAATACTCTTTGAATATTGAGGTCGGGTTCACTAAAGGCATTAGGTAGCTTATGACTTTTAACTCAATCTTTTTTTTCAGTCAATCGAGTTCGGATTAGAGCTCGCGATCACAATTTTTTGAGCTCTATCTGTAATAGAAATAGTTACAAAAATTCAAACAGATACGAAATAGAAATAATAATGATTGAAAATAACCCATGTCATCAAAATCGTCAATCTTATTGCGATTTATTAGTCCGATAATCGTAAGATTATATCGCGATAAATGGTAAAAATTGGCGATTTTCCCTAATTTTCACAGAAAAATCGCCATTTGGGTGTGGGTGTCGGTATGAATAGAGAGTAGACTCACACACACCTACCCTCATATGAAAATTGCTTAACTCAAATTTTCAATATTAGTTTTCTTCCTTTATCTCGCCGCATAATTTTCAAACTCGAAACTGTCTGATATCAGCTAGAATCACTACTTGAGAATAAAATAATTCTATGAAGATCGATTGTTCTAGAGCAAAGATTGAATTGAAGAAGCTTGTTCGAGTTGACTTTTGAAAGAATTGTTGCATTACTTCTATTGTTCTGAAAATGACAGTTATGATGAAAAATTCTTTTTTATCGCCAACTTGCAATGAATGTATAGTTGCCGGATGCTACTCTAATTGACATTGTGCCTGTCGACTGATTTTCGGTCAATTCACTCAGTCCGCGAACGTTTTTCAACATTCTCAACTCATCATTCACATGTTCTCTCATCCACAATACTTCATCATCACATATGAGTTCCATACATCGACCATTTTTGATCAATGCGTCAAATGACACAATGGCTTCCATGTTATTCGGGATGGCCACCGACAATGCTACCGACTCGATTGATATTCGCGTCCATTCTACTCGAACCGATCCTTTGATGGTGACCACTTCCGCTGTGACATGATTCAAGAGATCGCCATCATAGGACATACGTGGATAAATAGCGATCGTACTAAGAGCATTTAACTCGATTCCTGCTAAATACCGATAGAACCATGCCCCGATACTGTTGAACATGTGATGATTCAACGATGATCCTGCTTGGGTTGGAAGTGTATTCCATTGTTCCCAAGTGGTCGTAGCATTTTGTATATCATTATGAAACATGTAGCCATAGGATGGATAGGTCGTAGATAGAGCAAGTTTCAAAGCTAGATCATGATGTCCTTCATTCGAAAGGAGAGGATACAGCTCGGCTACACTGACGATACCTCCAGTGAAATAGCCGATCGTGAGAATGTTGCTGACCAGTGAATTGAGCACAGTGGCTCGAAGCGATGCTGGTACGACATCGTGCAAAGCAAGTGCAAGTATATTTGCTGTTTGGCTCCCGTCTGCATATCCACTGATAGTAGTATTGTAGAAGACATGATGGAATTCGTCGGTCAACTGCTGATACAATTTTGTGTACTTTTCAACATTATCAGTATGGTTTAAAATTTGGCTCATATTGATGAATGTGTACACATTGCTAAGAAAACCATAGGAAGATACAAGCGAAGCGTTTCGTGTCTGTTGAACTGCTGCCCAATCACCATAATTAGAGTACATGTGGGCTAATCCTGATTTCTCGTATAGACCAGTCAAACAATCAATCCATGCTTGAATACCGTTGTAATATTTTTCGATGATGGTGATATCACCGGTATGATCATACAAGTACCAAGTGATGATCGCGTATGCCGAACCCCAGTTCGGATCGGCGGGACTAGTGCCCACCGTGAATGGTACTGTGTCACTTACGGCACCATCTGATCCTTGATTGTCAGCGATCATAGTCAGAAAATTCAGATAGAAAGCCACATAATCGAAATTATAGAGTACTTCGTCGATGCTAAGTCCAGCATCACCCATCCATCCGCGTCGTTCATTTCGTTGAGGACAGTCCGTAGGTAGAGACATGGAATTACTCAATTGTGACCATAAAATATTGTGCTGAATTTGATTGAGTACAGCGCTACTACTAGTAAAATTTCCGATTAATGTTGTCTCACTATGTGCATTGTAACATTCGATGTCATCTTTGCAGATGTTATCATAACCATTGACTAGTAGATATCGAAAACCATGATAAGTAAACAAGGGCTCAAATGTTTCATTCCCTGTTCCATTCAAAATCACCGTATCCATAACGGCAATACTCTGTAAATTTTCATAGTATAATCCTCGAAAATCAATACCATTCTGACCGCGTGAGTAACGCAATTCTGCATAACGCAATTGGATGATGGTGGATTTAGCAGCCTTCAGAGAAGACAGTTTACACCAGCCGGCAAAGTTCTGACCAAGATCGAACACTTGTCCATTGACGTAGTCCTGAGAAATGGGCTTGAGCACACCACCAGTCGTAAGACTAGCACCGTTAACTCCAGCAACGAGTCCTGAGCGGTCTGAAGTAGCAATATGCAGTGCGTTGGGACCAATTCGGATAGGATTCATCGTTTGAAGAGAGAACTGACCGCCGGCTGTAAAATTCACTGGAGATGGGAGGACAGAAGCATTGATCCATAGTGAATAGGGATCGGTGAAACTAGCACATGACCAACAAGAACGTGTTGCTCGTAAATCCATCATCGTGCCCATGTAAACAGAATCATAACGATGTTCACCTTCTCTGCCTAACCATGACGAGTCAGTAACAATGGATTGACTGGTGCCGTCTGTGTAAGCAATGTTCAATTGCATTAGCACACGAGGCGGACCGTATTGTTCGGCAAGTTCAGTGCGTGCGCCGAGACCGATGGCCCATTGTTGCCGATTGTACCAGCCTTGTCCCAAAACAATACCGATACCGATAAGGCCAGTGCTGGTATTAAATACATCAGTCAAATCATACGAAGTATAGAGTGTACGTTGTTGATAGGTAGTCCAGCCAACATCTAAGCGTCGCGTCTGGTCAATCAATGCTCCTTCAATATACAACTGATAATAACCAATGCCACTGATATAAGCTGTAGCCGAACGAATACTGGTCTGTTTGATACTGGTGACTCTGCGTAATTGATTCATATTGATATTATTGCTGCCAATCCAGTCTCCTGTCCAATCCGTGACTAAAAAGAGTGCAGTTCGAAAATATGCTGTGTACCATTCACTTTCTCGTTGTGCTGTGAAATATCGAATGGTGACTGTGTAGCGTGTGTCCGAAGTGAATCGTGCACCTACATAGAGGATCTGTGTGGATGATGAAGAGTGCACGTATTCACTATTCCACATGAGTTGACCAGTAACAATATCGTGAACGAGAATATGATAACCCACTTGTTGCACTCCTCTGATCAAACGGCCATCATCATCATATTCATCAGCCAATCTCCATGAGAAATGTGGTGTGTACGTATCAATCACTAGATCAGGATGTGTAGTCACGTCCATGTGCTGGATACGGACATGTTGAGGACTGATAGAGGATGGATTGCTTGATCCAGAAGAGTCATAAAGAGTATGACTATTGCTTCCGATGAATAGTTGCAGAAAGAACAGTAACCCTAACATCCAACTATTATTGTTATAACAATCAACTGTTTTGAAAAGCATGCTATTCTTACAAATGAGTTTTGACGGCGAGGTAAGCAAGACAAGATAAGGTTATTCGTTCTTCGACACAAACATATAATATTGTTTTCTCTGCGTTTTTTATCTTGCTGTTGCAGCGAGCAAACGTCTGGTGCTCGACAAGGAGCAAAAAAAGAGATACCTTCATCTATGGCGACGACATGCCCGTCGAGATAACGTATGAGAATCGTTCCCCAATATCAAATGCTAAAAAAAGACGTCATTTCATGCTATAAAATTGGGTGTGAGTGTGTGTGTGGGTGCGGGTGTGTCGGTGTTTGAGTGTGGGTGTTGGCACTTTGATTATCCACACCCACATCCACATCCACATCCACATCCACACCCACACCCACACCCACATCCACACACCACCCACACCCACACCCCAAAAGTCTAAATATTAATAGCTTCAATGTCTATTTGGTTTGTAGAAAAATATTGATTTCTTTAATCTAAATCAGTGAAGCGTTTTATGAAATAAAAATTCATATATTCGTAATTGGAATCCGTATTTGGTTTGTAATAAAGAATTCAAATATTTATAATTTTGTTTGCTACTTGGTTTAAAATAAATTCTAAAAATGATGACTTTTATGGCATATTGGTTTTTCAAAATATTTCATTTATTCTTCTTCATAATATTATGAGCCATTCAGATATAGATTCTTTATGGGATTATGATAAGTATTTTAACTATACATAGTAGCGAAAAAAGAAAGAGAGCACAATATTAAGTTGTGAGCCACAGACAAAAAATACAAATTCTTAGAGATCTATTAGCTAGTCAAATAATCGTCAGTATAAAGCTTTTCAATATTTAAGAAATCATATTTATAGCCATAAAAAGGTTATAATAACTATAAATAATGAAGGAAATATTTCATATCGTTTAAATGGCAATTAGTTTATAAATAACAATGGTTTTTATAATTATCCGCGAGGTTTTTAACCGCTGTAGTATGCAGGGGTCGCAGCCGAGAGATTCGAAGAAGAAGGATTTTGAGAAGGAATCTTTCAAAAAAAAGAAGGAAATTCGAAGATAAGAAGGAAAGGAAGGAAAAGAAGGAATTTTGCAGAATAGTGCGCTACAACGAATAGATTTTATACGACACCCAATGAGAAACAATAGGACTGAGCCCAATGAGTAAAATAATTTTCGAATTATTATTTTGTTACGTTTCAAGGACATTCTCCTTCGTGGCATAACCAGAAATAGTCGGGTGATCGGGTACCGCCCTAAAAACTCTAGGACGTTAACCAAGAGTAATGCACTATGCCTCTTTTTTTATACAGCGAAAGTGCATTAAAGAATATATCTGTAAAAGCAGATTTTATTTTTAAAATTGTACTTAGTTTGTTCAATAGAGAAAAGATCCGAAGGTCGCAACATTTTATTTGAATAAAACTGATATTTTTATGCAAATCAGTAAAATTGTTGATGAATTCTTCGAAAGAAATGTTGGAATGACGTTTCACTTCTAATATATACAAATTGCTCAAACGAATATCCAATATAGTATTCAGTATAGTTGTCTTTATTAATTTCATTTTGCTGAATGTTCGTTGACAAGTGTCGACCGAAACTGATAAAGTTATAGCACCAATGACATATGATATTATTATTTGAAATGCCGAGTGTCCAAGTTAATAATGCAAGTTAGAGGTCATTTTGTTACTTCCAGACTTTGAATTCTCAACATCGAGTCAAGAATCAGAGATAGACAAATATAAGCTCGAGTTTAGATAAACTTCGAAGTTTAGGCATTTTTTATCATAGTTGAAGTAATGTATAGGAAACCGAAGGGTTGTAGCCAAAGTGAGGATTCGAAGAAAAAGGAGTAAAATTACATGTTGTTGGTGTGGTATATGGGCGAAATTGTTTATCTCCGTTAAGAAATTAAATTTGATCAAATAACAGACACAGCACAGCTTTTATATATGTCGCGAGTTTCTCTAACTCCTTCAATTGTAAACAATACTCCGTATCTCAACACAATGTTGATATTTTATTTAAAATTTGCATGATTTCTGGGAATGGACAGATACTTGATACTTAATAATGCACTTAATCGACTGATAAAATTAATATCAACTCAGAAATGAAACAATATGGGTCGTTCTGTTTTATTAATTTTACAGTTTTGAAATAAAAATACGTGTTTCTTTAATTGGTGATGGTTGGGCTGAGCCCAACTATGGCCTACCCTGGTTACGCCACTAATTCTGCTGGTTTTATAGCGAATAATAACAGAAAATGAATTTCAAAGGCGAGGGAGCGTCTTCTTAATCGTACGACGTGCATGAATGTTGTTGTCATCCCTATCTCTCAATGACTCTCTCGGTAGTTTTACAGGTCATGCACACCTCTCATTCACATGTATTGCCATACTGTGCAGCGATCGCAAAATTCATGTATGATCAATTTATCCATTAATAGACCGTCAGAGAGATGTAGCACCGTCCTCGCTCTCTTCTTGAGAAAGAGGTAACACGCATACTGGTTACTTCTATCTCCAATAAAGCTGCGTCATTTGTCGTGCTAAACTACAATCTGACAATCTTGATGGAACATAGATACGCCACGAAAGATCATTCGCACAGACAGCTATAAGACTCTGACTATGAGATGGCTCAGCTTCAGCTACGCTGTGCCGCAGAGTAAAGCTTCGCAATTTTCGACAGTAACCATATTTTAGAGAAGCATCGTTTTACGTATCTCAAGTTCTGTATATGCGCCCAACATAGACTGAAGCCACACATGCATACTTTAGTCTAAGTATAACATACTGTACATTCGACTTGAGCTAAATAAAACATTTTCTGGAACTTTGAGAGTTCCCTATCAATGTCAAACTCTAACTAAGTATTACCAGTCAGTTTTTTCCATGTTTCTGAGAAACTATTTGTATGAAATATAAAAAAAGAAGGAAACGAAGAATTTTAGGCGTAAAGAAGGACGAAGAAGGACACTCTAAAAAAAGAAGGAAAGAAGGACCGCTGCGAGGCCTGTACAATATGTTAAAATGACTACGGAGTCATTTAATCGTTATCCAAACTCCAAATACGTACACCAACTTAAAATAAACGTGGGATGTCTTAAAATAATTAAAGCAAAACTTGAAGTAGTTGTAGAATGATTAGGTATCTACAGGAAACCATAAAGTGGGTATAAAAAATCATTAAGTAGTTGTAGAATCATTAAGTAGCTGTAGAAAACCATTAAGTAGCTATATGAAATCATTAAGTAGCTATAGGAATTCATTAAATAGCTGTAGAATCATTAAGTAGTTGTAGAGAATCATTAAGCAGCTATTGGAATTCATTAAGTAGCTGTAAGAATTCATTAAATAGCTGTAGAATCATTAAGTAGCTGTAAAAAACCATTAAGTAGCTATTGAAATTCATTAGGTAGCTGTTAGCTTTTTTCAAAAGTATCTCTTTTGAGAAGCTACGGAAGAGGATAGCTATATTGATGTAGATATTGAGTGGAGTAGACATTGTAGAATAAAATGCTAAAACGAGAACTTCTTTTATCCGTATGTTTTTTCGCCATGTTGACTAATTACATCAATCTATTGTAATGTGATTTTGGATGCTACTCTTTTTCTTATTATATCTATGCATATTTTATTTAATAAGACTTGACAAATCGGAAGAGTAGTGCTACTGCCACACTTGATACAAATGTTAGTCATGCTACTCATCATTCTAGCTATATACTATGTTTCATAATATGACACAAACTTATACAAGAGAGAAAAACAAAGAAAGACAGAATAGCAGACACACTATGAAGAACAATAATACGCAGAGAATAAGAATATAATAGAAAGGCCCAGGACGAGCATTACGATAGCCGTAAACGATCGTATACGACGTCGTATTCGATCGTGTACGGTCGTATACGGTGTAAATTACGATCGTATACGACCGTATTTCGCCGTATTACTTGACGCCAGATTTACGACCGTATATCGTCGTGTCGTATACGACGAAATACGACCACCGTAAACGATCGTACACAGTCGTATACTATGTGGATTGTCATCGTATTTCATTCAAAATTTTGCTACCTACCCTCCCCCCTCCCAACTCTGCAAAGATGGAAAAGTTAATCTTTGTTGTGTCCAGTCTGACTGGAGCTCCCAATTCTTATTTCTCATGCAGCTTTGATGATATATCACCAAAGCTGCACGAAAAACAAGAACTTGAACTTCCAGCCAAATTGGACATCCCCATTCCATTACATTGATACTTTATGATTTTATTTGTCCTTTTGATAATCTAAAAAATAAAAGTTAAAGTTGATCTAATCTAAAAACAAAAAAATAAAATTCATTTAATCTAAAAAATAAAATTTATTCAATCTAAAAAGTAAAATTTATTCAATCTAAAAAATAAAATTGAAACTTTTTCTAATCTAAAAATAAAAAATAAATTTATTTAATCTAAAAAATAAAAGTTAAAATTTATCCAATCTGAGAATAGAATTCATTTAATCTAAATATAATAAAATAAGATTTATCTAATCTAAAAATAAAAAAAAAATTTATTTAGTCTAAAAATAAAAAATAAAATTTATTTAATCTAAAGATAACAAAAAAAAATTTATCTAGTCTAAAAATAAAAAATAATATTCATCTAATCCAGGAAAAAAAAGAAAATTCATCAAATAGTAAATTATTTATACAATCGAAATATTAGTATTAGATATAATCTAATGTATAATTTACTATACGAATGCTGGAGTCAACATTAAAAAATAAATAAATTGATAAAAATAACGATTTCAGACTCATTCAAAACTGAAGATCTAATATCATCTAACTAATTTCTATTGGGTAAGGAATATCTCTCTACTTCATAAACGAATTACTCATTGACAATAACGACTATACAGTATAGTACTATCTGAATGTCTCTCTATCCGTATAGCTAAATATTAGATGAAATGAAAACAGACTGTATAAAGTAAGAAATATTCATCCTTTTCAGAGATGCAGAATCTTCCAAAAAATCAAAAATTTCCCTCCCCACGGAAATTTTCTCCAAAAAATTTCCCCAAAGCTGCATACTAGTAATGCAAAAAACTCAAAAGAATGAATTGTATCCTGTAACAGTTAATTATGACGAGAACAAGGTTCTCCCTTCTAATAGGTTTTTTTTAAAAAATTTCCCCGTCTGACAATTTGTCAGGCTGGGGGAAATTTTGGAAAATTCTCGGACTAGGAAAATTTTGGAAAATTGTCACTAATAATTTTCTAAAATTTCCCCAATCTGACAATTTTCCAAAACTTCTCCAGTCTGACAATTTTCCAAAATTTCCCCGAGTAATGCAATTTTTCAAAAAATTTCCCTCCCCGCGCGGGGGCGCACGAGGAAGTTTCTGCACCTCTGCTCCTTTTACTGCTATAAACTGATTACTTTATGTAAGACAAAGCTCATATATATCAAATACGAGATACCTATCTGATGTTAAGAATTGAGTACTTAATGGAAAAAGAATGCAGATATACATACATGCATACAAAATAGACAGGCTATGTCTGCTGCCGTTACAGATATTATTACTGAAGAGTAATATCTCTGTGTTCAAATCCATACTTGATCGAAGAAAAAACGTCGAACATAGTTTTAAATAAGAGGTATATTTGTTTTATTCCTTTCAATTGAGTGTCAGAAAAAAAAATTTGTAAAGGAATAAATGTGTCTGATACTGATAAAAATTACATTTTTTTAAACAGGCGACATCTGTTTTCTCTTGGTATGAACAGATATAGAAACAGATATTGTTTGTCTTATTTGTCGATAACAATAATATAGAAAATGCTAACTTCTTACCTCTTATTTTTCTATATTGCTGATATGACAAATCTTAAGTTTTATTTCTTATATTTCTATATTGGATATATAGAAAATCCTATTTTTTATTTTTCTATATTGGTTATATAGAAAATCTTAATTTTTATTTCTTATTCTTCTATATTGATGACATAGAAACAGTTAGTTTTGTGTCTTATCTGTTTATAGTAGTAATATAGAAAATGCTGATTTTTACATCTTATTATTCTACATTGGTGATATGAGAATCTTATTTTTTTTATTTTTCTACATTGGTAACAAAGATAACTATTTGTTTTATTTCTCATTTTTGCATATTGCTGATATAGAAAATATTTTTTATTTTTCAATTTTTCTATATTAATAGTATAGAAAATCTTAATTTGTATTTCTTATTTTTCTATATTGATGATATAGAAACAGTTAGTTTTGTGTCTTATTCGTCTATAATAATAATATAAAAAATGCTAATTTTTCTTTCTCATTTTTCTATATTAGTAGTACAAAAAGTCGCATTCTTTTTCTTACTTTTCCATATTAATAATGCGGATGATCATATTCTTTAGTTTTTTTGTTTTTTCTATATTGGTAATGTAGAAAATCTTAACTTTTATTTTTTATTTCTCTTTGTTAACGGTATAGAGAGTAAAATTTTTTATGCATGAGTTTTTGTGACTATTATGCTATGAATTTTATTATGTAATGATAACTGCCGGTGTAGGCACCTATGCATCGGGTTCAGTAAGTAAAAAGATCTGGGCTATGTGAAGTTAAGTTGAACTATAGCTGCCAGGGAAGGTGAAACATGACGAGTATGTATGTTTTTAAAGAAATCAGTTAAAACCTTACTGTACGATTTTTTTATAATCATACAATATTTTAGTGTTGGAGCATCTAAGAAACTTGCTAGAAGAATTGACATCAGATTTCTGAGACGACAATTTTTCATATGATTTTTTGTATCATCTTGTATGAACACATACGATTTTTGAGTAACATCGAATAGGATCATACAAGAATTCATAACTAATCTTACTATGTGATTTTTCGACCTGGGTATGGTCGACACATGTAGCTCAACTTACGACTAACTTACGACCATATACAGTCGTATACTACACTCTTGCACGGCAGTCGTTTATTTCAACGTATACGTTGATTGTATTTGAACGTATGGCACCGTATACGTTCATCGTATACGATCGTCGTGTACGATGACCGTTTCTAGACGTATTTCGTCGTATACGACCGTTTACGATAGTGCTTTTTTGACCTGGAGGGAAAGAAAAAAGCCAATAAGACAACAATGCAGCGGTCACTACGCTTCTAATCGGGCGAAAGGTCAGGCAACGCGTCTCGTCGGAATACTTCAATTATTAACACACACGCACACATATACACCTCTGGGCAAAAGTCTTTCCCCCCACCTCTTTTTTCAGCGAGGCTTTTTCTACTATTATAAGGACAAAACATGGTGTCGTTCGGGCCGATTAGGGGTTATTAGGGTCCTCTTTTATATAGCCCCAACAACACCATATTTTGTCCTTATAATAGCAGAGAAAACCTTGCCGAAAAAAGAGGTGGGGGGGAGGGGGGGGGAAGACTTTTGCCCAGGGGTATATATATAATATAGAACTCTAAGTGCTATGGTATGCTTTTGATACTCTATAGTGAAAAACTCAAATGTCTGCCAGAAAACGTCAGAAAACAATAGAAAATAAAATGTAAGTTATGTGTTGATTATTGTTATTCTCTGATATTTTCTTTAGTGTAAGCAGAATTCCAATGACAAAATTTGAACAACTACCAAATGAATTGATACTAATGTGCTTTCATTATTTTGATTTCTACCATTTATATGAAATGTTTTACTATTTAAATCAACGTTTTAATGAATTAATTGAATATCAAACAAAAATTTACATTGATTTATCTCCAATTCCATCTAAAAAAAATTTTTAAGGTTTTGTTTTCAATTGAATCAGTTAATAACAGCATCCCAAAATTACCCATTATCAATTGTAGCTAGTGATGAACACAAATTTAATTTGATATTTGATGATTTATTTAAAGATCAATTTTCTAAATTAAAATCATTAACATTATCAGACATAAATGCTGCAACTATAGATGATATAATATTTGATGAACCAACAAAATTATATGAAAAATTAGAACGATTAAGTTTACTGGGTACGATCAGTAGAGGAGATGGAGGAATAGTTGACACAGAATGTAAGAATAACAATTTAAATCTAATCAATTAATTATATTTGAGATACAAAACTTGAATTTTTCTATTTAGGTTTATGTGTTGGTTTAATATCATCAGAAATGAAATCATTAAAGTATTTGAATTTAAATTTTAATCCAGATGAACCTGATTGTGAAAATTGTGGCCGTTTCAAATCGTTCTATTATTTGTGCTTTGATGAATCAAAATTCTGGAGAGAAAAATCATTAAGTCATTTAGAAACAATTATTATTGGAAGTGAGTTATTTTAATTGTACACATGTCTCTAACTTATATTTGTAGGTACCTTTGATGAGTGTTATGCAACAACAATAATAGACTTTCATACAATGATAGAAAATTTATTACCATATCTACCAAAATTAAAAACTTTAAGTATAAAATCACTTGGCTTTGAAGAATATGATTCTTATCAACAATCCAAAGTATGCAAAAAAAAAATGTTATTAGACTTTTTTAATGCAAACTTTTAACCTGAATCTAATAGCTATTAAAAAAAATGAGTTGATCTCAAAGGAATGAACTTGCAATTGACTGTACCATCTGTCGGATCGAATTTATCCGATGGAGTTTAGATACACTTTGATACTAGTTTTCAGAAAGAAAATTTCTCTTATTCTTTTTTCTATTAGGTATCATCAATTACAACAACAACAAATTCAATTTTACCATTAAAATTAGAAGTAATTAAAATCTGGATTAGGCTTTATGACATAAGAAGAGTATATTTGTATGGAGAGCAATACATAAATTTAGTACGAAATTTCTTCATAAATAATACTTCGTCTGATATTACAACAATTAAAATATTCAAAATTAACATTAGGTAGAACTTTGTTTCTTTAGGATTGATATGATAAACTTTGATATTTTATCTTTTTGTTGAAATGTGTTTTATGTTTATGTTATTGAATAACGCACACAAAGAGTATAAGTTTCATTAATTTTCTGATTATGATATTCATCTTCCAATAATAAACTAGAGAATAATATTCTTCTTCTAGGTTTTTTTTTATATAGCTTTTCATTCAATTCGATTTCTGAGTAATATATCTAGTTGTGCAATGACATAATCAATATATTGTAAATTCAGAGAAAGTTTCTTGTCTTTTTCTTGTAATAATTGACATTTGATGAGTAATTTGCATTTTAAAAAAACTTAATTACACAGTTATTGGGTCTTTCATGTTAACAATGTGGAATTTGATGACATTAATCAAATATGACAAGCGAAATTAACCTTGTGCAATGACGAAAACTTTGATTTATACGGCTTGATGGAACAATATGCAACAGAAATTGTTGCTGGCAAAATTTCACTTGGCTTTTTTTTACTCTATCAATGAGGCAAATACGTTAAAGCAAACTAATATTTCCGAAAAATGTTGAATGAACAATGTTTAACAGATAGTGAAAAAACTCATTGTTCTTGCGGATTGGGTAACGTTGCAATGGTGACGTAAACCACCGGGTGGGCTGGACTGGGCTGAGCCTACCCTAGGATGACTTGAGCCCACCACAAAAATTTTTCAGCTCACTCAGAACATAGAATTGTTTTTTATTTCCAAGTTATGATGAATAAGCTAAGCGGAACGCATCACTTCATCCTATTTAGTTTCGATATTTTTCTTTGGTCAAAGGGACCAGCAACAGTGATTTCTGATATAACAGAGGAATAGATGAGTTTTTTAATAAAACAAATCGCGGTTTTTTCACTGCTTGGTCTGAGAATATTTCAATTAGGTAATAGTAGTGTGAGTATATATTCAAATGAAAACTATATTACCAATAAGGATGGCCCATTGTCGATAGTACATATAGTGAAAAAATTCCAATTATCACTCTTGTTGTTGTTTAGAAAATCAAAATTTATCGGAAGGTAGTCCTCTATAGGATGCTCCAAATGTGGTCGATCTCCTATATTTGTGTCGTTTATAACATGATGAAAACAAAACTTATGCATAAATCCAATTGAAGAATAAGCTAATGGAACAATATCTCAGTCTATATGTGTATGACAAGTACAGCACAGAGTATCATCTAGATCATAAACAGAGTTGAAAAAATCATTCTAGTGCTTTCAAAAAAGTTTCCATAGAAAAATGACTTTTCACACCGATGATTAATGATTATTACTTTTGTTTACTCAATGTAAGTTTTGAAGAGCTATCTGAACATACTATTTGTAACATCATAGATGTTAATAGACCATGTAGCCTGTAGATTTTAAGTAAGAAAAGTTCCAAATATGATGCACAGGTAATTTACTAAAAGTTTTATTGAAAGATTGCATTCGGATTAAAAAAAATACAACTTAATGCTGTCACCTTGATATTGATTAACTCGAATGTTAATAATACTGACGCATTCGTCATATTTGTTAATGTTATTATAAAAAGATCAATCAAACATACATATTTGAGGACTAAAAGAATAAGATCTATTTTCAATATGATTTATATATTTTTGTCTATCCATAAAAGTCAACAGCAAAAATTGTTTGCGCAATCCCTATGGGCTTAAAATGTGAAACATAATCGGTTTGTTTACTTACATTGTAAATGAGAAAATCTGTCTGTCACGTCTGTGGGCGGCGGACAGGGTGGTAGTAGGTCTAAATTTCTATCCCTAATAATTATTTTATACGAAAATGGATCATTATTTATTTTTCATTATATAATCTAGAAAACTTAGCCATTGAGTCTTTTACAATCTTTTGAAAAGACTATGCAAGATATAACTAATCATATATGAAAACTCGCTCACTATAAGTAATTGAGCCTTTTATGTTTGAATAAAACAAGATTGCATTAAGTGCTTTTATCATCTAATACTATTTACAAAACTTGATTGTTTTAATCTTAGGCGCACACGTTCAAATTATCATTTTTATACATAGAAGTGTTGATGTAAATACCATAGATGAATAAAAGACTATGGATATCGTTGTTCATTTCGTCTCGCAAAAGACGTTAATAAGTAAAAAGGGTTTGAGACAGAAAAAAATATTTCGAATATCGTATAAATGATGTAAATATAAAATACTCATAAGAAAGAAAAATGCAAGTGCACTTTTGTCATTTCACAGATTTTGAGTAGAATAGTCAGAATCCATTGCAGATAACCATTGCAAAGGAGAAGATGGCATGGTACGAAGGTTTGTGATAGACTCGGTTTCGTTTTAAGAATTGTATTTATTTAACAATTCAAATACCTTATACGACAATGTGATGTAGATTAACATATGACAAAAATCTCGATCGTTGCAAACAATCCATTATTTGATGAAAATGAAGAAAGCGATGATTCAAATGATATCAATGATGATAAACGAAACATGATCAGCATTGATCGTCAAGAAAGGGCCTTTCTAACGTTTTTGGATGGAGGTTATTCGAAAGATTCATGGAATGTTTATTTTGGAGGTAGAAAATTGGATGGTACAAGTGCTCACTCATTTCAATCACTTGGTAGTGGTTATGGAAAGGACAGTTTTTTTGAAGGGAAAAAAACGAATAAAATAACTAATAATAATAAAATTTCTTTTTGTTGTTACTATAAAGAGCTTCTCTATAGAGTTTCCATAACCCTAACATAATATGAAACCAACTTTGTTTACTATACCTATTTTATTCAATTGGAGTCCGCACGAACCCCAATTTGATAACAAGTGTCAGTCTTTAAGTTTCCCATGTAACGAATATATTTATCTATTTTCTTCTATTCATTTATTGAAAAATAATTTGTGTAGAATGAACACACACATCCTCAATTGACAAGTATAAAAACTCGTTGCTTTTCTCTGTTTTTCAAAAACTAGTCACTATAAAAATAGATTTTTAAACAAGCAATTATAGATTGTGGTAGATCTTGAAATTCTTTATGAATCCGTATATTTTTGTGTTGCCTTAGATTAATATGTCAAATGTGTTAAAAAACGATTCGAATATAATGTCCATAACCTCGTCGAGAAATGCCAAAAATGAACCTTTTTTGTAACAATTTCTTTTTTATTTCAACTATTGTATTTGTATAAGAAGAACTTTTTTAAGAAGAAATTCTACTTTCTGATAGAGCTTAAAGTAGTCTATCATCGTAAACCTTTGAAATGAAAAACAAAATGAATAATTAAAAAAATCAACTTATTTTTAGAGTTTGCCAATAGATCTGCCTATATAATATTCAGATAATTCTCCAAGAAAAGATACAACATATTTAACAAATACGCAGAATAATAGAGAGTTCACGCTCTATTAGAATCTATAATTGTTTGTTTAGAACAAAAAAAAAACTTTCTCTAGGAATAATAAATTTAAAATGAATCTTCAAAGGTAATAGAAAATGCAAATTTTTCGAATATTTGTCAAATGAGAATGTATTCATTCTATACAAATTATTTATCAATAAATGATTACAATTAAATAGATAAATATAGACAATAGATAATAATAGAGAATTTCGCTCTCTATCACAATATTAAATTACTTTTCTAAAAAAAATAATTTTATGATTAATGAAAAATAACAAAAAAAAAGAGTTATATTGATGATAGTTAAAAGAATCATGTCTGTGCCAATCTTAAGATGAGAATGCCTTCATTCAAATCAATTTATTTTGGTAATCAATAGATTGAAACTAAAACGGAGTTATAGAGAATAATTGAAAATCAGAATATACGATTATTTTTTAACAAATACCTTATTATAATAAGAAATAAGAATATCCTCAAAATACCGAAGAAAACCTTTTTTTTCAGGTTATAAATACATTGACTTAGAAATAATTTTATATTTCTATTTAAATTAATTTTTGTTGAGATTAAATAATTATGGAAAACTCCAAACTCACTATTGACTGACTTTTTATTTTAGAGAAAGAGCCAAACATTTGTGTCAAAAATCTTTTCTTAGTAATAAAACATTCTACAAAGGTTAATAAATAAATAGATTTTTAATGTGATTTATGAAAGAGCACACTTTTGAGATAAAATACACCTAAGTTTTCCATTAAATCACTGAGAATCTGTGAAAAAGTGAAATTTTGCTTAGTTATCAGACGTGCAAAATCTGCCCGTCTGCGCGCACGCGCGTGCGGGGAAATTTTTGAAAAATTATTGACTGCAGTAAAAGTTTTGGGAAATTATTGGCTGTAGAAAACAGCTGCGGAATCTACCTGCATGCGCGTACCGTAGTTTAGGGAAATTTTTTACTTTTGTGGGACTTTTCGCTGCTGTTGCTGGGGGAAAATTTTT